GGTGTATACCTGTATCAAGGTAGATACTGTTTGGTGTATACCTGTATGAAGGTAGCTACTGTTAACCCATGCCTGTGTGAAGGTAGCTATTGTTTGGTGTATACCTGTATGAAGATAGTTATTGTTTGGGGTATACCTGTGTGAAGGTAGTTATTGTTTAAAATATGCGTGATAGGCTGGCTGCTTAACGAATATGAAATGGCCTTGTTTTATGTGTATAACTAGATGTATAATAGAAAACTAACAGTGGTAACGTCTGATTAGTTGAGTGTATGCGTGTGTGATATTAACTTTAATAAATGTGTACTTTAAATATTTATTTTCTGTCATTATAAACTTTTTCTTTTTCTCATCAAAACTGCATACTTAAAGTTACTATAGAAGCATTAGTTTCACTAACAGTTTGTACTTACAGTAGTCTTTGTATATTCTTATGCTTTTATATGAAAGTTCAGGTGACAGTAATTTTCCACTCAAAGGATACAATTAAATTTTAATAATTAAAAAATTTATTTACACAAATTAAATGTGATTTGTGTCACTCATATTATACCAAACTTTGCAATATACCAAAATTTGTGTGTGTAATAAATTAGAATTCAATTGAAACGTAACATTCTGTAAAAACAAAGAAAATTGGGAAAGTGTTAATACGAGTAGCTTTGGAATTTTTCTATTAATACATGACTTATGCCATTTCTGGTTTATGGATACATTTATTGTAGAATAAACGCTACTTTATAGTGCAGGATGCTATTAAAAATCTTGTACTTGTAGATCATCATTGTGCTTTCTTACTATTAATTGAAAAATTAACCTTTTAAAATTAATATTGCCATCTTCAGTTCTATTTAATTGTTATTTTTACAATTAATTGTTTCATTTATTTAAGTGAAAAGCATAAAAATCTTTGTCACGATTCTTTTGGTGTCACGATTCTTTTATTTTTTTCAAATGATAGTTCTTGAGAGAAAAAAATCGATAGGGCCATAACTTCTCAAAAAAATAATTAGCATCTTTACACGGCTCATAGATAGACCCTAAAGTTCCGAGTTTAAAAAAATGGTTCCTAAAAGTCCATTTTTTAATGAAATAGTTCTTAAGTTTCCTTTTTTTTAAGGTTTAATTTTTTAAACACTGGTTCCTCCAGCAAATTATCTGTTGGTGATACCCTATTCTGTGTTGAAATTTAACAACGATCACAGATTATAATGTGTGATATTCCAGTATTTGTATCTAGTTCACTTGGTTGAACACTGTAATAAGGGAAAGATTTTCACCTTTGACCTTACCTAGCTTTTTTTTTTTGGTGGAGAATATTTTTGTTTATAATAATTTTATTTCAAAGGTTTTTTATACAGCCCTTTTGACTCTTACAAATTTGCTAATTTTTGAAAATTTTGGTTCCTACAGAGTTCCCAACTTTTACACCCTCTATTGCTTTGAGCACTGGTCTTTAATTTATCAATCATTTAAAAAATCTTATATAGTTATATATTGCATTTATAATTCTGTAGTAAAAGCTATTGGAAAAATTTGGTAAAATTGTTTGCGAGTAAATCAGACAACTTCATGTAAATTCTCAAAAACTTGAGAGTTAGTGTTTCAAAGTGGGATAAGAAAAGTTGTGTAGCTAAGAACAGTAGTGAAATAACTGCTGTTTATGTATCTCTAGAGAATCAGATGCTATTAAAAGCTGTCATCTGTGCTGGACTCTACCCTAATGTGGCCAAACTGCAATGGCGTCATAACAGGAATCCCCATAAAAGCCCAAAGTGAGTATTTTATCTCTAATTTGGTGTAACATATTTAGAAATTTTTCAAATAGACTGACTCTGTATTATAAGGATACGAATCCTCTATCAAACAACTTTTCTGTTAATGGTATTAAATGTAAATCCTAAAGGCAAGAATATTATACAATATAGACCATCCTTCTTCCCCTCAGTAACTCTTAACTATTCATTTTTAATCACTTACTTTATCTCGGTTGAACAAGCTTAAATTAAATATAATAAAATGTTGGTTCTTCGATTCGTAGTAAATATTAACATCTGAACACTTGTTACTGCACCTTCTAATGAGCTAGAATAATACACTTTTATTGTTTAACCATCAAGTAGCCATAGAATAATTTGTTCTCAGTATTAATTTCTGCCATGTGACTTCTATTACAGTTGTGCGGTTAATATTGTCTTGGCCTATTTTTCTGCTATAAAACTTTGAAATGATCCCTCAGTTTAAGACCAACAACTTGCTGAGTGTGAACATTTTAAATTATTTATTCATACATCTTTATCTTACATTGTGGCTGTCCTAATGAAGCTAGAACTTGCTAAATGTAAAAATTTCTAATTATTTTTCATACATTTTAATCTTAAATTTCAGCTGTCGTAATGAGCTTATAGTGTATATAATTAAGTCATATTGACTGTCTCAGTATAATTAAACTTACAGCTTGAGGGGAGTTTGAACACATGTTTGATTCAAGTATTAAAATATATATGTACATATTTATTTATAAAGTTGGGGAAAAAAATGTTCTTAGATTTCCCTGTTATTAATTTTTTTATTCAGTGGTTTGGTTTAACCCGTGTGTGTATGTGTGTGAGAGAGAGAGAGAAAAATCTTCAAGATTGTTTGATAAATGAAATATGGAATGCAGAAATCTTGGTGTTGGCCAGGGCTTAACTGATTAAATAAATCTACTGGAAAGTAATATTAAAATAAGCCATGACCTAATTAGGTTGGAGAAATAGTATGTATTCTATTGATAAGTTTAATTCTTCAAAAGCAGTCAGTCGTTTTTCAATGGGAGCATGTAACATTTTGTAGATGTGAACTTTGTAATAATAAGTAAAGTTTGAAATAGCAGATGTCAATCAACATATACAGGTCACTAACAGTGGGTTTGGGGAAGAACCCCATTGATTTTGGACTTAAAAGATCAAAATTAACATTTAAAAAAAATAGAGAAATTTGGTTTCTGTGCAAAAGAAAACTTAGCTACAAAATACACAAATATGTATGTGCATACACACACTACAAAATACACAAATATGTATGTGCATACACGCACACACTACATTCATCAACACACCAAAACAGAAAAACTAATGGTGGGTGAGATAAACTATTCTACTTCTTGTTATTATTTTTCATTTCTAGCATTTACTAACTCACTGTTACTATTATCACAATTCCTGTTGCTATTTTTTAATGTTTATGACAATGATGAAGGTGCAAGACTTAGTAACTGTATTATTGAACTAGAATTCCCAAAGTGTACACAGAGGATGATGGGAAGGTTGTTTTACATCCCAAGTCTGTCAACTACATGGAATTCAACTTTCATAGTCAGTGGCTAGTGTATTATCAAAAACTCAGAAGTTCAAAGGTAAAAAACTTTTTTTCCCATTGCTTTGTTGAATTGCAAGCTTCTTTCTTGAGAGAAGGTATAGAGAAGAGAAGAACATACTTGAAAGGCATTGTTAATAGAGTTGTTTTAGGTAATCTCTATCTGGGCTAGTAACTCGAAACGTTATCCAAAACGTTTTGGATAACTGTAGTCCATTAACAGTGCCTTTCAAGTGATTACGATGTAGCTGCGTATGGGATTAATAATTTTATAGAATATTATGATTCTTTCAAAGCTTTCATGTCTAAATGATAGCATCTTAACTAGTTTTAAGGTCGTAAGGAACCAGTGTAACCACCATTAGTCTTACACTCATTACTTTAACATCTTCCTTACTGTAGTTAATGCATTGATTTTTTAAGTAATTATAAACCAGTGTAGTGTGCTGACCACTGTTAGTTTAACACTCATAAGCAATAATAAGATTAAAACGCTTCAAAACGAATTACCAACAATGGTTAAAAATGGAAGTTAAAATAACTAACAAAACCTAATGTACGTAAACTAATTATGTAAGGATATATTACTCAGGGAACCGTTTAATATCCAACTTGTATTAACTACAGTAAGGAAGATGTTAAAGTAACGTATTTCACCTAGTGCTTAACATTTATCTTATGTATTACTTTAGGCTGCTTGCTCCGAGTGTGCTGTAAAGTGATTGGTTAGTTGGAGTTGGATTATTTGTATTAGACACAACCTCACAGTGTCTTCAGTAAATTATTAATTTTGTTTACTACATGAAGTTAACTTGGTTCTTTTAGTTACAATATCAGTAGTTTTACTTTTTATTATATGAATTTCTTATCGAGTTGATTAATTTACTATTTTTTTTTACTTTCATAGACTTGAGTTTTTGATCTAGTATGTACTGTTCCGCTACTGAACTCTATAGCTAATCAGTAAAATGTGTCCCAATAATTTATTTCAGATGTCAGACTACTCTATAAAGTTATACTTTCAGAACCATTTCATGGACTTTCATTGGTCAGAGACATTGATAGGGAGGATTTTTATAGGTTTTCCTTGTACCAATGTCAATTTTTCAAGGGACAGGAAATTGGTGATAGTACATAAAGCAAGCAAATAGTTTTTATGTGTTCTGTAAATATGTAATACTTTATTTTTTCTTTAATGTTACTTTCAGTAATATTACTGGTTAGAATGTTATATATTTTTATTGTAAGAATTATTTTATATTGTTAGCTTAGTATATGGATTTAGGACTAACCTCAATATCGGGAGTTGTTTACTGGCATTACAGCCAAATATGTCATGGGTACCAAACTAATGAAACAATGCATTTTTATTATTATAAATAAGAATGTAACCACAGTATGTTAAATTAGTTACACTCATCACTGGGTTAATTTTTAGTTAAGATCTATTTAGGTAGTTTACTTTGATCAGAAGGTAATATTTAATTATTCAGTTACAATTATTTTAATGAAATTCACTGCAACACTTTATGTTGGTTAATCGAAGTAAATAAT